CAGTGCACCTCAAGCCGTTCATCAGGACTGATGGTCTACAGAAAGACTTCTGAGTGATTTCTGGTCTTTGGTGGGAGGAAAACCAGATCAAATGTTCTCTGCCAGAGTTGAGTCTAAACTTGTGCTACTCATCCGTCTGGTACAAAGAGCATGTGACGCGTTTCCTCGCCCACTCTTTTCAAACAGGTTGAAGTCTTACTTAAAAAAGCAAGTCTGATGTGCTGTTCACCCCATAATTGGTGGCCAAAAGCTTGAAATAACATCTCGATTCTCCAAAGTGAGCTCCGCCTTGGTCCTCTGTGGTTTGAAGTCGAACCCATTTCTTGCATCATGTGACTCTATGAAACCTTGCAACATGGGCTTCTAAGAAGTCATGAACTAATTTAAGGTTTAGCCTCCAAAAATGAAAGGGCAGACGGCTGGAATCTGTTTGATGCAGCCTGCAGCCATCGTTCCACTATAATGTGAAATGCTGCAACTTTTCAGTTTGTAGACAATGAAACAGAAGTCAGATGCAACAATGTTAATCTTTGGAAAAATGTTTTCTTTGCACATCATCATGATTATGAATTAATGCCAACATTGTTGTCACAAGGTCGTATGACATGAGGCGAAGAGGAACACCCTTTCCCAACCTGCCCTTATAAATTCTGGCTGCCTATAAAGTGGGAACATAGTGAACCCAGACTAAAAGAGGAAGGAGTACAGCGAGGATTCAAACTGGTGCATTTCAGACGGCAAGAAAATATCTGCTTCTTCTAAGAGTTAATATCTGAGAAACACTAAAGTTACCCAGCCTGCATTTCCACACCGCTGTAAGTATTCAATTATTGTGAAAGGCACTATTTGGGGAGGGAAGTTTGGGAATAAGCTGTAATGCTTGCACAAAATGTGTACAAAGTTTATGGTTTCATTTTGTGGCATCACTCAAAGGGGAACGAGTGCCTCCAGCACAAATGGAGGTAGGTTTTTGTTTCTATAAAGCTAATTTGGACAACTGCGCTCATTTGCACTGTTAATTTGGCAGTCGGACATCACCGGCATCCTGGATAGAGAAGCTTTTTACATTATTGGCTCATAGGATTTATAGTGTCCTTCATGAAGTGGTTCCTATTTAGAAATTCTGCATATCAAAGAAGTAAAATATCAATTGCCTTAATATTTGTTTTTTTAAATAATGCTACACAAGGAGGATTTTACTGTTTAAATTATGGATCAACACTAGTTAGTTTTAAATAGCTGCGGCACATTTTACATCATGTTGTTTTGCCCTTTGACCCAAATACTCATAGAAATATCTGAAATGTTTTGAGTTTGCTATTGAATTAATAATTATATAGTATTATAATATTATTTATTTATTCTAAATCATTAATGTCATTAATGATTTAAAAATTAAATAATTAATGCTTTAAAATGTAATTAAAATATTGTTTATTTATTAAATGTATTTATTTATTTTTAATTATTTAAAATGTAATTTTTAAAAATTCATTATTGATTCATTAAAAATATTCATTTATTTAAAATTATATAATTATATATACCGATTATATAATATATATATATATAATTTAAAAGTATATATACTATTAAAGTAAAATTATATACACTATATAATTTCATTTTATATAAGTAAGTATAATTTAAAAGTAAATTTAAATAGTTGCTGTGCAGTATTACTTTGTCAGCAAAACTGTTTTGTAATTAAAATGCATCAATGTTACATGAATTATTATTAATAATTATATAGTACTATAATATTATTTATATATTTTTAATTATTTAAAATGTAATTAAAATGATAATTTATTCATTTAAAATATGTATTTGTTTTTCATTATTTAAAAGTATAATTTAAAGGGGTCATATGATGCTGCTAAAAAGAACATTATTTGGTGTATTTGGTG